AAGCCCACAACCCCAATATATACCCTAGTACAATATAGTAGTTTCCATTTTATTTTCCATTATCCCTATCATAAACCCCTAGAGAACCCTTATATAACCCTAATATAAACCCTATAATCCCTATAGTTTTCATTTTCTTTTCCATTATCCATTTGTATAACCCCAATATAAACCCTATTATAAGAGCAGAGGTAGTACGCTCACCGTCGGTGTAGCAGTGTTGAGCCGGATGCGTGAGTCGGACATCCTCGGCTACCAGTCTTTGTCCCTTGCATCAAAGAGCTGAGAGCCCCAAGACTTACGTGTATCATGCACTAAATCAAGATATGTCATAGTTCAAGGCTGCGATATCAAGCAGTCTGCTGTTCCAGGTTGGAAACTGAACAGCGTGCCATGTGATGGCTAGTCCTTTTGTAGGAGCAGTTCTTATGGCTCGGCGGAATCGAGATTAGAGATTTCCTCAACATAAACCATCCTGTGGGTAGAGCAGTGTGTTCAAAGGATTTCAAGGGCCTTCCATGTTTTCTGCGGCTCGCGCGTGGTTTGCTTTCAGATTACGACGTTCTCTGTGCTTTCGTCATGCATGGGTTTGGGACCGATGTCGATGTACCCTAAGGGTCCAGGCACCCATGAATCAGAGGCGCGCCCCCAAAGGACTCGACCACAATTCGTATTCCCAAAGGCACAAGTATTCAAGTATCAGGTACGTAGTGTCGCATGCTTGCAAGAATTCACTATGTTCCATTATTGGGTGCCTCAAGGTTGTACAAATTTTGGCGTTTGACCCCATAAGGGACACAACCTTGAGCTGGGAATGACTTACTGGCGGTTAGTACGAAGCAACAGATAAGGACTACTATGGGGATCCGTGGATTCATTCTTGATTACCCGCAAGTAAGATGGAAAGTCAGGTCTCTGTAGTGGAAACCAAGACATGGGCGGGTAGCCTGGATGGTGATGGCACAAGCGCCCTGTTGGCTCCACACATTGGTAGTAGATGCTCTACCAAATCCATGTTCTAGGCCCAGCTGTGACCTGTGAGAACCATCGCATGAGACTCATGAGACTTACTACTTGTTGGAGAGGCCGGGCTGGTAATCTGCAGAATGGAGCAGTATTGGATGTCTTTGGATGTTGGTCGAGGGTTGTTTCAGGTTCTGAGCGTGCAGAGGAGCAAGGCTCAATAGTTTTGGTTGCGGGGCTTAGGGTACAGTGTTCGGGCAACCTACTCAGCATTTGTAATCAGAGGTCCCTAACATGATATATCCAAGGAAGCCGACCCCCTTTACCACCGATAGTCCCATGTATCCCTGACTTCCCCAGGGCTCCATGTTTCTAACACCCAGATTAGCTAGGTCGCCTAGCAGCTCCCAAAGTAGCAGCAGACAAGGGCGTGGCTCATGATCACCATCCTGACGTTGACCCTTGACTGGGTTTGTCGCACCTTTGCATGTTGTTCCAGTTGCGTATGACTTTTTGATACAGCCGAATTGACCATGAACCAATAGTCGCCTGAACTGTGTGGCTGTGATGGGATTGGCCTCCAGGGTTCTTTTGCAAGTTGGCCAGGTGCGCACTTAGGGGTCCTGAGGAATTTCTTTATCTGCTTGATGATGCCTGGAGCAGAAACTGGCAAATCGAGTTTAATCGACCGGGACATGGACCCGGCCCCAAACCAACATGTAAGTCTGAACGTGTGGAGCTAGAACACTGTAGAAAGCCACTTGGGACCTCTGGGCTGCTTCATGCAAGTGGCACTATAGACTATTTTTGTAGCAGGCTTCCAAGCCTTGGCCTTAAGTCTGCATCATGAAGCGCCGTCTAGCCCCGAACGGCTAGCAAAGAATGAATAGCCTCTGCAGTTGCTTCATTTACCTGGCCGTTCCCCAAATCATTTGCCTCCATCAATGCCAACACAAAGTAACCCTCATGATAAGAACTCCCAAGAAGGGACCCTCAATTTTTGGTTTTCAGGTCCCATGGGTAATCATCTACTTGATTTCGAAGTTATATCGCAATCATAAACCCCCTAAGTCCCCTCTGGAAATTGGGTCATGACTACAGCTAGGCTTAGGCTGGATATGAACCTATGGACCTCCAAGCAGAGTTCCCAGGATTGCTCTGGCTCCCCTCTTCGCTGTTGTCCTACATGTGGTTTGGTTGTGTTGGATCGGCTGTCCCTGCACAGTGCCTGCGGACGAGGAACTGGGTGGATGATAGAAATAGGCATGATAGCAATAGCAATCTAACGAGTAACAAAAATCAGATAAACGGGTGATGAGGGCTTTGCGAATAGAGTGCTTGTCTTACGTGTCTTGTGTGTTAGTAGGAGTTGTAAGCCGTGGAATCTAGAACCGGCGCATCAGATTGACAAGCCGGCCAATGGCCCCAAAGCATTCAGATTCCTTGGCTTTCCCACAGAAGTCCACCAAGCTGTTTCTTCCAAGGTTGAGAGTCAAAGGTTTAAGGGCTCAGGGTCTTGGGATGTACCCAAATTTAAGAGCTAGGGTTGTTGCCGAATCTAAACTGAAGAGTTGGCAACACAGGACCACATCTGCTTAGATGGGGGCTTCTTTGGGTGTCCAATGTTGGGCTGCATTCGTCTGCCTTGGCTTGTGGACAAAGGTCCTCCAAATGCCGGTGCCCCTTTTGCACCTTGAACTACTACAGTCCTTCTCAGGAACCCCAAACTTTCAGAACCCCATTTTTCGTGCTGCTTGCGGCATGCGGTTTTTGTAAGAGCAAGCCTCATTAATCAGCACAGCTAGAGTTCCGCATTGCCGTGGTTCAGGGCAGCTGCATAACAGCGCCCAATCTCACCACACGGACAGTGGAACCCAGCGTCTTCCTTCCTAGAAAGTTTCCCCATGTGCACTCCTTTCCGAAAGAGGGGCCTGGGCCCTAGCGTTCAGAAAGGCTTCAGAACTGCTTGAATCAAAATGTGTCAGTGGAGAGTACAAAAGACGCCTTCCCGCGCTTGGTCCAGTGCATGTATAGGTGGGGTTTGCAAGTAGTGGCGCTCCAAACATTGGGGTTGTAAGACGAGTGTTGGGACCCCCTAAGCAAGATGGATATACATACATTCCTATACACATGGTTTTATGGATAATATGTCCCTGGAGCCTTGAACCCTAAACCCGAAAACAAGATTATGCAGGTAGGCCCATTTGGTTGCCAGGATCTGGAAGCTGAGATCCAGAGCCGCGCCGCGGAGATTCAGGATGCCACGCTTTCTCGGCACTCCCACGGGATCTAGCAATGGGGTTCTTATGGAGATGTATACTTCCAAAGGGACTTATGGAATCTTTGGCTCAATAGAGAGAGGATCCCAATTCCAGTACCTATGGGTTGCATACACTAAGCCTAGACATGCATGCTGGCCAAGGGGGCGCGCAGGGCGCACTGTGCACGTCAATGTCTCTGAAGATGTGCGCATGTCCACACATTCCTTTGAGAGTTGCCCCATCCCGCCCCCATGCAGGAGGAGCTGGTGCAGCACGGACAGATCCAGTCAACTTGGTGGGAGCGAACCTCGAAACATGTCCGCCTTGATTGAACTTCTGGGTGGGCACCCGTAAGGGCTTGAGGTAGGTGCTTATAGGTTTAAGCGTTTAGGGCCTCTAGCAAGTCGCTATAGTACGGGTTTAAGGGGCTGTGGGCGTCACCTCAGAAGTTCAAGGGTTTAGGGGTTTAGGATTGTAGGCTTCAGGGTTTCGGTTGAGGGGTGTGAGGAAGCAATTGGACCACCAGTCTCACCGGTGCTTAATATGGAGGCATATGGAGGCGCTTTTCAAGAACCAGGGGTTTTCTACGCTGCCCGGGATCCTCATGGCAGTTACAGCAATAAATATGGGTTTACGCGATACTGTTAGTCTGCCTGCAGCAAGATTCGTCTGTACATATATGCATGTATATACATGTACACATGCATGTTTATGTATATATACGTTGCCAAGTATCAATTAAGAAGCAGAAGCTTTTGGGAGATTGTTCCTTGTACGCGCATGTGTCTTGTGCCATCCACGGCAAGGAAGAAGCGCATGAAGCTGCAATTTGAGGTGTCTGGGGTGGTGATGACCGTTTCCACTACAGCAAGTAAATACTTGCTTCAAGAAGTGGTACCGGAGTATGACAAACCCACAAATATGCCTTCAGAACCCTGCGCCGAGTATTCGCATGGAGTTCTGGCAGTACATCCTCGATTTTGGCTCGGACGTGCGCCCAGGCTTAGAGTAGCTTGGGGAGACGCACGGATGCAGCTCCATATAGACACAAAAAATAGCCAGGCAGAAAGGATCCTGCGCTAGAGTGTGCAGCATCAACAGCACTTGGTTTTCTAGGCAGTCTTGGCCAGAGCTCATGGCGTTGCTACAACTTAAGCAAAACTGTCTCACCAAACGGGGAATGCCCAAGAGTCGTCGTAAGATCCAGCAATACCTCTAGTTTCTCGAAGGCTTAGCGGCATACGAGGCTTTAGTTCAGCGGCCCTTGAGGCTATCACAGCTCACGGGCCTGTCGTTTGTCGCTTATGTAGCCCCTGCTTAGGAATCGAAATTCTGACCTTACTGCTTGTTGGCAGGGAATGGAGGGATGGGTCCTCATAAAAACCACACCTATAGTTCTACTACCCTTCTGACAACCGGCAAGTGACCCCCAGTGGCGGAAAGCCACGTTTCCATGTGGCTCTTAGCCGACTGCTGTCTCTGTACGTGTTGGCCAGGGGGAGATCAGTTTTGAAATGTTACTTCTAGATTTTGCAGCATACAAATGCAAGACCCAAGGCTGTTTCCCATGTAAGGAGCCTTAGTGTCAGGTCAGAATGTTAGAAACCATGGGTTCGGCTTAGCATTTCTATGTCTACATGGCTTGTTACTTGGTGGTTGAGGTTCTATGGTGATCCCTTTGTAGCTTCAACCCGAATATTGGGCACCCAGAACTTGATCCCAATAGCCCCCAAGATTCCATCTGTTTATGGACGACTGCAACAAGCCTACAGTGAGGTTTCTCATTGTGCAGTTCTTGCAGTACTACCACTACATCTTTGCTTCTGTGCAAGCCTTCATTGTTCTGCTGACTGCTCGGGAGGAGCTTTGAACCTTGGCAGGGCGAAGGGTAGCTCCCTACTATGGGGATATTGGCTCAGGCTCAGATGGGAGTTCTCTTGGGGGGGGGGGGATGCTAAAAGGGGTGCCATGTGAAATGCGAAAAATTGGGCTCAAGGTTTTGGTTATAACCCTGAAGTTTGCTAGAGTGCCACGCGCCACCCTCTTGCATGAAGTAGCACCGGAAATCGAACCGACTGCTCCGAAAGGAGAGGTGTCGTACACAATCCCAAAGATTGCTTGGTCATGTTGGGACCAACAGCTATAGTACTTGATACGATGTTAATGTTAGGATGCAGGCTCTTGCGTGTTGGCATGTGAGAAGTGCATGTATGGCTAAACGCCAAGCTCTTCAGTTGCTTGATCGGCATGCATAGCTTTTTGCATCCTCTGTGCAGCGGCTGAAGTTCGATTGGAGAGCAAGGCTTGAGAACCATGGCACGAATCCGCAAAGTCTCTGCTGAGAAAACTGTTCCTGATACACGCTCTTACTTGCTGTTTGTTTGTAGGGAAGGAAGGAACCTTCCGTAACCTATGAACAACGAGTGACACCACAAAGCTCCATGGAACGCTTACATACTTCTAGCAGTTGCGACCGTGTCTAGCCCCTAAGCCCCTTAGGCCTTGTGGGAGGCGTCTTAATCAACCAAGCTTTGCAGTATGACTCCTGCATCATCTTCATTTTTCAAAAAAAGCTCAATGTCAAGATTCCGTTCGAAGAATAACAGGGGCAAATCATAGCAAAAATACATAAAAATACCAAAATCACCACAAGCCTTCTATCTGCAAGGTACGTTGGGCTTGCGCCGCCTGATCAAAGCGCTGAAGGATTCACTGCATTATGGGTGCCTGGGCATGGCCTGTAAAGGTGGTTTAGGTGCAAGTGTTCCAAGGGCTTCCAGAGGAGGAAAACAGGGCTAGGATGGTATTCGGCTGTCTCCTTTGCGACTTAGGGCTCTAAAACTTTGAGACACAGGTTGCAGACTGGCATCATGGTAGTAGGCACGGAAAACAGTATGTCAATGTACTGTAGTCCGACATCGGCTAGTTATGGAAAACCGGGTCGAAGCCTCAAGAAACTTGCGATCAGGATTCGTTAGGGTTTTGGATTTGGGTCTGCCAGCTCCGCTGAGCACCATGTAGATGCCTTGGGAGTCTCTCCATTTTCGCCAGAATAAAGAAATGATAGTCATAGTGGTAATATCGAAGAACCCAAGACTATAGTCCTGATGTTCGGCTTCTACCCTAGACACTTCTGGCTTGCAGGGCTTGGCACATATAGCAAGCCTCGGGCCGCTGCAAAGGATTGCTTGGGAAACCAAGGGTCTGTAAAGGGGAACCTAACCTCTCATTCCTAAGCTCTAAGACTGCTAAGTGGTTCGTGGGAAGAGTGGCAGAGGATGGATTATGCATTGGGTTATGCGCCCCTCAGTGTGTCCATGCGTGGAAGGACGTGCAGGCAGTGTCCATCTGTTGCCGCTTGCAAATGTCCCTAAATCTGCCTCAAGTTGGCGAGGAAAATGTAGTCTACGGTGGAAGATCTTCTAGAGCAATTGACCTTCCGCACGATTTTTGGGCCACAAGGAGTTGCCTCATTTTCTTTCAATTGCGGTGCCTGTCACCAATTCTAAGCTTCCAGCCCTGAAGCCCGCAAACCTTGCCGACGCGTTGCCCCAGCATTGCGAGGCTCCGCACAGATGACTTTCTGCGATTAGGACAAAGTGAGCGGATCATCGAAGGGCCACTGTCGCTCATGCTGCTTTGCTTAGAAGGAAGGGGTCCAAGTACGAGAGTTCAGTGTTTCCTGTTGCGCCATTCTCAGGTGGTTCGCGATTCAGTTTCGGGAGTCCGGGCGCATCGCAAGGTCATCTCTTACTCTCACTCCATCCCCAGAAAATGGGATACAGATTGCATGCAGCCACATGCTGGAAACTTTTTGACTTACTTGGATTGCAGAGGTCTCAACTGGAACTGTTAGCCACTGCGCATGCAGTCGTAACATTTGACAATGGCAAGAAGCGCTGTGTTGTTTCTAGAACTACTTGGTAACATGCTCACGACGGAGCCGTGCGCTCATGAGGGGTGTTGACCGCTGCAGCCCTCACTTTAGAACGCACCCTAGCCCCTTTGCGCAGGCAGCTGCTATCTATCCATATATCTGAAACCTCCACTCCAAAGCCCATATGCTGTTGCGCAGCTGCAGGCTGCTGGTGTATACTTCCTTCTACATGAGCAGCGACACCTTCGCCTACATCACTGCTCTGTGCCTTGCAGACTTTTGAGACTGCTAGGGGCCGTACAGGCCATCGTAGGATCGTTTGGTGATTGCGCAGGAATGACATTGAGACATAGCTTCTGAAATTTAGACCTTACCTCCTGCCCCCGCTGAATTGCACAGAACATTGAACAAGACAAGTGCTGTTTGTAGTAGGGACTGAGGGACCTGGCTGCTACAGGGATAGTGGGGATTAATGCCGTACGGATCCATAGAGAGAGTCTCAAAGAGTACCTACACATTGTATTTTTTAAGCCAGTTGGCTGCCGCATAGCATGCTTCCTCCAAAGCTCTGAGCCCCAGAGCAATTAAGAATTTCTCAAGCCCCTACGACTAGAATGCCCTCGAAAGTGGACAATGCAAAATTCCCAAGAAACACCTTTGATGTGTTCAACGATGCCCCATTTCCGGCACTTCCACCAGCTGCGTGTTGTTGGAAGGTTCCCAATCCTCGACTCCCTTCCGAGCTGATGTGGATGAAGTGATGTTAGCCTTGGAGCCTGCATGCGTTCGTTAGTTGTTGTCAAGCGACATGGGAACACATACCTCAGAAATAGGGTTTGGGGTTCAGGGGTTTTAGGCCACCCAAGAGGTAACTTCGAATTATCTCAGCCCCAGTCCTGCTGAGGTTTTCGATGTTCATGAGCACCAGCAGTGTGGCCAAAGGATCTTCGGGATTTCCCGGGGTAAAGTTCTGGAGTTTAGGACAGTGGAGTTGGCCTATCAATTGGATTGCTGTTGTGTACAAGTCTTTTACAAAACTGAGCCCAGTATGGATGAGGCTTGATCTTTCTTCAGGTACCTCGAAGTTATTCAAATCAAGCTAAAGGCGAAGCCTTGCGAACGCTGCGCTTAGAGTGTTGAGCAATTGGTAATTCACGTCTTGGCCTTGTTGCGTCCGCGCATGGAACGAGCGTGCGGGAAAGGGCACCTACTTCTGAATCACAGCTCAGCACTTGAAATGCTGAGCCTTGTGATTGTGGTCCAAACCCAATACTAGCCAACTCCATGGTACCGAGTAAGCAAGGAGAGAGGGAAGCACATGCTAGCTGCTAGATCCTTTCTACTCCTCCTAGCGCTTTAGGGAGAGCGTTCTAGAGGCTAAGGCATTTTGCCTCTGTACATACTCGAGGACAACAATCATGTATGATTTCCCAGACAGGAAACACTAAGCCCGAAGCCCTATGAAACCGGAGGATGCTACTACCACCTGGACCTTGCCTTGGACAGCTTGAGCGCTGCGCAGACAGCCAGTGATGCCGAAGAAGTCCTTGTTTACCCGGAGGCTTCTATGTGGCTCCGAGTTTAGGGTTAGTGTAGAATCTATTCAAGGTTTGGGGAAGAGGCTGTCATATACCGTACAATTGACAGAGGAATTGCCTAAGCACCAACATGCAATCAGGGTTTTGCGCAGGACTATTTGGGATGATTCAGTTTGTTGGTGTAGGCGAAGTGTAGCAGAAATGTAAAAGAAGTCATTTTAGCATCCTGCCAGCCCACAATTTGAAGGGCGGATCAACAATAATGTTCATGCCTGGAACCGCTTAGGCACGGTTGGCAAGGAGCGTAACAGGAAACAAGAAGGTTTTGTGCCTTTATTTTCAACAGCGCACGAATGATCATCCATATCCCTGGTGCCAAGCAGGAATCTTCCCGCAGTTGATGTCCTGTGATAAGCATGGGCCTGCGGTTCTTCAAAGCTTGAAGAGGGTATCCCAACAGGGCTACAAGTCTGTTCCCAATCAGCGTTGACGTGCTAGCATGTGATGGCAGAGAACTCTTATGTGAAATGGACCGAAATGAATTACTAACCACCCTGTGGGTGACCCCTCACGCATACCAACTTGTTGTCAAAGCACATCAAAAGCCATGGAACCTGATCCAACCCAGAAACCTAAATACTATTGACTCCTGACCGTTCCGCAGCCATAGATGTCGAATTCTGGAGTCATCCATAGTTACATAGTGCGTTTGCCATCCTAAACCTACGGCCGCTGCACATAATTTTGTAGTGCCTTGTCCGAGTTCAAGCTTGTCATCTCCAAACAAAAAGCAAAACCTCAGATCCGCTACCCATATACCTCATGTAATCCTTCAACCCTTGGGCTATGCCCTCTAAACTCTATACCTGAAACAATCTAGGCGGCACCACATTGGCCCTGACCGCGGAAACCTTCAGTCCAAGACTCCAAGACCTGAACCATATAGGGGTGATACCGATATACATGGGGAATGGAAAACGAGGAAACTATTACAATAGAGAATCACATGGAAAATGACATGGAAGTTAGGTTTACGTGGCTAACTCAAACCGGACTAAACAAGATCCCAAAGCCGTGGTCGCACAGCTCTAAAGCGCCATCTAAGAACACCCCCTCGACTGAAATCTCTGCGTTGCAGTTCCCGGGCTAATGAGTTGGTTCATCACAATCTTGGCAATTTAAAGCCCATAGAGGGAATTCGTGACTCAATCCCAGTTTTTGTGCATTGGGAGCCCTAAAAATCTTTACATGGAGGTTGGGGCGGCGCGTGAAGAACACGCGTGCTCTGACAAGTCTCCGGAAGTGCTTCCGGAATCCGGGGAAGCGCCTTGCCACGAGGCACCCGCCCCCCACAATGCATGCAATCCATTCCCGGTAAAACTAAAAGTCCTCCCATCTCTCATGGCATTACAAAGTTCTCTTGGGTTCTGAAGGCCGCGTCTAGGATATGTGTATATTATAGCTAGCAAACATTGGTTTTGAATGCAGAGACATTGCTTTGTGGTTTTGCCGCAAGCTCATGGCCATCCCCCTTCGGGGCAGTGTTAGGAATCTATACTTCAGATTCATGATGTCTTCGTGAGTAGGCGGAGAAGTCAGCATTCCAAGCAGATTACCTATCTTGATCATCTTCCTCAGTTGTCCTTGGATTGCCCTTTGTTTTCAGATCCCCACCTTCCCTTGTTCCTTTGGGGTCAGTAAAGCTATTCTTGCAAGCTTTAGGTTTCGGACTGGAAGAAGTTGAGTGCATGTTGCGGGGCTTTCTCATCATGACTCGATTGATGCGTCTTGGACGTTGGCTTAGGTAGCTGTGTTGCTTGTTGCCACAGCCCCTCAATGAAGGCAGTATTTAGCATTCTTAAGTACTGAGTTCTACTGACCTTAAATACAGATGCAAGCCCCTGAGTGCATGTTCTTGTTATGCTCGCGACGCTCAAGTCTCAGAGCGCTTAGGTCCACAAAGGGCCCATTTTCAGGCTCCATGTTAGATTGGGGAGGTTGTACAGGCTCTCGGTTTAACCCTGCGATCTAAATCGACTAACCCGCCTAAGCCATGCGCAGGCGGAGAGCGGCACAACAGCCTCGAGCAAACAGCTCGTGAGTCTGTGAGGAAACTTTTGTCATGGTGGAGTTGTTCTAAATGACAGTCCCCTTTTGGGTCCCCATGTCAATATGTTCCTTATATTCTATAGGATACCCCGCACAGGGCCCATAATTTAGAGCAACCCTCATCAGTGCGTGTGCACCGCACACTTTTGAGGTGCAGACCTGTCCTTCCAAGCGAAGATCGGAGGGCATTATTGTTGATAGCAAAAATCCTGCATGACAATAGTAACATTGGATTCCAGAATCTCCTAGGTATACGGGACTTACGGTCATGCAGGACTTTAGTATCAGCCGTATGTGATTTCGTTCAACAAAGATACTCCTGCAGACGCCTCTTAAGCTAGACCGCTATCATTCTGTAAATCCCTATTTGGGATGGATCTCTTTTTATGGTCTTGATTTTTGTAGCTGCTGGGTTGGCAGCTGTGTGAGAGCCTAGAGGCACAGGGCTTAGGATACGTCCCCCACCCACCGCAGCATGAAGATGCCGAGAGCAGTGTAGGACGGGGTTATCTGATTCGACCCCCATTTTGAAGCCAGTCCCCGTGTGGGCTGCCAAATCTTTGAGAAGCATGATTGAGGCAAATTCCCACAGATACATATGCAATCTATGGGACCTGACTGTCACTGCAGCTATGTCTGGTGTCTTGCCCAGCAGAGTTACAGAACAGAAGTTATGTACTCCAAAAGGCACCCATATGGGGGTCAAGGTGTGGTCGCTATCTTTGGGTGGGGGCCTAACCTAACCCAAGGCACAAGTCCTTGAACGGGCGATGACCGATCGCTCGGCTGTGCACCGGTTCTTGGCCAGGACTCTGCCCTGTATCTGCATTTCTTGGGTTCAGCACCCACATCGCACGATTGCTTTGTAAAGGCCTGGCCTGGAAGCTCAACTCTGTTGTGTGTCGAGGCATCTTTTTCCGAAACGCTGCCTGCAAGAGTTTGCCTCAAAAAGTCCAACCGAAAGCGGGAGGCAAGCCACGAAGGTTGACTGCAAAGTTGCTCAGGCTACTATTGGAGGTGGTGACTAACGTCATCAAGTAGGATTTCGGCGTGTAAAGCATAAGTTGTGCTGACCATTGCGTTGCTTGGCTGAGCAACGTTGTTGCGAATGTTGATTAGAACTGTAATAACACAGGTGATGTTGCTGCGCGTACATTTCAGGTCGACAACATGCATGCGATAGTGTGGCTGCTACTAACCGGAGCTGCTGCAGGGCAGATGCTGGGCGTTGATGTAGAAGCGCTCTCGGATAATGAACTTGCAGCTGCGAACCTTCACCGCAGAATTGCGGGAAGGTTATCGTTTTTCCGCTGTCCGCGAAGACAAAAAGTTGAACAAAGTTTCGCCAGCGCCCTCAAAGTTCTGAGATTGGAGAGTAGCTTTTCAGATTTGAGGGTTGTGGGAACTGGGTGTATAGTGGTTCGGGTTTGATTTCAGAGCCTAGCATCCGGAAGCTCGCCCTGAGAGCAACGGTTGGGCCTTGCGTCCTGCGATTTCATGGCAAATGCTTTGATTTGGCTAGTGCGTGTGTTTGGGAGGCGGGAGGTTCTGATTTCCATCGCTGAAATGTGGCCCAATGTGGGACAGGCGTGAGCAATCTGGCTACATTTGTAAGCGCTCTAGAGAAAGGAGGTGACAATGTAGGATTGCTGATGACAATGGACAATCACTCTGAATTAGTCGTCGTCCCCTCCTCCTCCTCCTCGCCTTCCCCCTCCCCCTCCCCGTCGTCATCATCATCGTAGTGCCACTGTCAGTGCGAACAGATATGTAATACACTCTGTAGAGCATACACAGATACCTGAACCATCGTTCAGGCTGCATGCGAGGGTTTCGGGTACGTACGAGGTGCAAAATCGAACCTTCAATCATTATTGATACATGTGAAGGGGCTCATCGTTGCGCCCACAACAGCAGGTTCCCCAAACATGTGCCTTCCAGCTCGCACTGAGGAAGGTGAACGACTGGCTGCGTCCGCACTGCCGACATGTTGAGGGATTGGTTGAGGTATCGCAGTTTTGAGCATTCCTCAATGCAAACCTTGCGCCAAACAGCGAACATTGAGGTCCTGATAACTTTTATCCACCATGGGAAGCCCGTAAGCCTAAAGCACAACGATTCTTGAGCACCACCTCGCTCCTTCGAAGGGAACGTTTTTCCAAGGGGCTGCAGTCATGACCCGGGCCGAAATCGCTCAAAAGCGCCAAGCTACAAGAAGCTTCAAACGAACATGCCTTGCAACATTATACAAGCCCGCTGAAAGAGGTGTATGTATGCGTCACCGAGATCAAGTTCCCATGCGCATAACCAAAACCAGACGCGCTTGAAAAAAGGGTATTTGCAAAGCAAAACTTGGCGAATAACCTTTCGCCCCCAACCTCGCCACGAATCATATCCCTGATACACAAAGCACCACCGCCAGGCAACTGTTTGGGCGGACGTACATCTTCAACCCGCCTGTATGGCTGTCCATGGCCGCTTCGCAACAACATACGCTTTGCAAAGCAGGAATCCAGGGTGAAGGGCTTGGCATGTATAGGGTTGACTGTAACATCAAGCGTGGGAGTCTTCAAGATGCATCCTTGGAGATCCTGGGGGGGGTTGAAAGGAATCTTAAGGAACAGTAGAACAGACCACCCGAAATATCCAGCTCTAGGCCCACCGTGTCGCTGGTGGCTTCATGAGTCGGAAGTCCTTGGAGAAGGCCATTCTCGGCTGTTGTCCTCCCTATAAAGTAGGTGAGGGTTTGTCAACAACGCGGCGGGTGCAACCCTTTGGGGTTCCTGTACAAAAGCCCGGCATGTTTGTCTGAGTCTTTGGCAGGACTACATTTCTGATAGATATCTCGCCAATCTTTGGAATGCCCTAAGCTCGGCATATGTTCTGTACATGTCCAAGGGCTGAGAGATTGTATTGCTCACCCTCCAACCCTCCAGTAGCGCCACAGCCCCAGAAGAGACTTCATGTATGGGGGCCACAATGGAGCGCGGGGGGATGCTAACCAGTAGGGGAAGCTATGAGTCTCTACACTCAGCAACTTTACGGTTGGTTCACGAACGATTGGAGTGCCTTCAGGGCTGTTCCCAGGCCAGTGGCGGCTATTGGTTCCCTGCGGGGTTTACCAAGCAAATCTGAAAACAACGGAAAGCGGCGGGCATAAACCTGAAAGTGAAGTACGAAGCTCTCAGACTCCATAGAGGACCGCTATTTGGCGTGCGCCTGCCCACGCGCCCAGTCTTTAATAGAGGACAACCCTCTTGGGGCAACCCTTCTGTCGTTCCATGTATGTTTGGGAGGGCATTATTCGGACTACCGCTATGACTGGCGCTATGGCTAACCAGTATCACCGCTATTACTATTGCTATCAGTAGTACCATTGCTATTACTATTACTACAATTCTGTTTGCTATTATTGATAGTACTCTGATTCTCATTGTGGCCATGAATATGGCTAAGACCACTACTTTGGCCATGATGTGCATTATTACTATTACTAGCATTATTTTTCTATACAGCGATCCCTAGTTGAATATGGTTGCGATGGTTTCTTAGTACCATTAATGAACAACTCTAATTTGTCACTATGTTTTGCGGTTTTAAGTATTTCTAGCATTATTATTAGTATTATGTCCATTGCTATCAATATTACCATGGCTATTACTCTTACTATGATGTGCACATTACCGCCATTATGAGTATCATTCTTGTTCGTCTTATGCTTAACACTAGTTGTATTAATATTATCGTTATTACCATAACTATTTGTATTAGTATTGTTATCATTATTGCTATTATGTAGAAGATTATTCTGTTATTCAGAGGCATCATAAAGTGGGATTTGAGAGTTGAGGTGTGGCCCTGGAGCTGCAGAGTGTCCATGTCCGGCTGGTCTGGGCTTGGGGGGGGCATTAGGTTGAAAGTCATCTTCTTTAGCCACTCAACCACCATGCACGAAGCATAACTTCCTCCTAATCCTTAGAAGGCGTCTTGCACAATCCCTGAACTTGTCCTACATTCAACCTTGAATCCCAATTCCGCAGACGTAAATCCTTAAGCCATAACCCTACATCCCAAACCTGCACCTCCAAACCCTCAACCCAACATCCCAAGCCCTCAACTCTTAAGGCCTTGAACCCTGAAATCCCAACCCTACATCCCAAACCCTCAGCGCTGAAATCCCTCAACTCTCAGCTCTACATCCTATCCCAGCACCCCAAACCCTCAACCCTGAAAAATCTGTAAACCCTGAACTCGACATCCTAACCTGGGTTGCGGTTCAGGAACTTAAGTCACCATGACAAGGGAAGTCTGTTAATAGTGACCATGTATCCATATAATGGTAACTTAATTTAAGTCCCTTGACAACAACCCAGGAAATTCCTGCGTAAGAGCGCACGCTTGGCATGGAGGTTTGGGTGCATCCAGGGAAAGTCAATGCTGCCTCGAGTGCTGATTCCGGGTTGGGAGCTTGGTCGCAGTCTCATGTTTGGATTGAGTTTAGGGCTTCAGGGTGGAAGGTCCAGCGTCAAAGATGTAGGGCTTTAACTTTGGGGGTATGTGGTAGGGTATACGAGTATCTATGGGAGTAAGATTTGCGGTTGTGGCATGCGGTGTATGGCTATGAGTTTAGGAGGCTGGGGATCAGGGCTTGCAAGTTTAGAGCCTTGTTGGGTGTAGGAATTTGCGGGTCAGGATTGCCTTCACTCAGCCGCTTTAAGAGACATGATTGGGGGCTTCTGATCCTACGTAGTCTCTTCCCAAAATCCACCCCGCCCCGTCTCCCGACCAACAAAATGAGGCTTGCCCTCCCATGTTTTTTCGAAAGCTAGTTGCAAGAATTAAAATGGGTACAGAAAGCATTGTTATTGATGATCCTGTAGGATTGGGTGCATCTTCAACATACAGTCCCATGCGTGTACTTTCAGACTCTTACCAGGCTACGTGGACACCCCACCCTGGGAGACACATTCCGAAATAAGTTGACCATACCATGCCCGTGG